CTTGATTGGAAAGATATAGCAAATGGGGTTGAACCGGAATTCCAACAAAAATTTGACATTATTGTAGGAGCAGATATTGTTTATGAAGTTGCACATGCCAATTGGATACCGAAAGTAATTAAAAAATTCATGAATAAAGGCGGAACTTTTTATTTAATGATTCCGCTTCGTCCGACTCATACTTTAGAAGTAGAATTGTTTGAACGATGTATGGAGGAACAAGGATTCATTTTACAATATCGCCAGGATCAACAAGGATTGGACGACTTTAGTGGCGTACAAAATTATCGATATTATGAGTTCAAATATTAAAGCATGCCTGTTTATACCCTATTATACGAAAAGTTAATAAAAACATTACTAATCACAAATATTTTGATTGATAAAATAGGAATAATTATTTATGTTTGTAATTTTATTAAGAGCGATATAATTATAATACTGATGCATTAGAGTTTAAATGTGTTAAGTACAAACTTTTTCTATTAAATGGTATTCAAATCAGTATATAAAGGTGAGTTAATAAAAATTGTGCAAATTTTTTTAGCAAAATTTTAATTTCAAATAACAATTTAATTTGGATTTGATTAATTTATTTATATATTAAAAAAATAGGAAATTGATATTTTCACACCCTATTTTGATATTGCCACATTTATGATATTAAAAATCAATATAAATTATTAAGGTTTTGGTTAGAGTTTGAGATATTAGAGGTGTGGCAATATTCAAAAAAGGTATGAAAATATTAATTCCCAAAAAATATTAGATATTATTTAATTTGATTAATAAACAGGATTTAAAATTGTAAGATTATATATTAAAAAAGAGATATTATATTTTTTTAAATTTTTTACTATAGAGATATTATTTTTAAAACTTGATTATATTGAGTTTTGGTATTAAACAAATTTACTTTTAGCTTTTAAATATAAAAATAATTCTAATATTAATAAAATTACAAAATTGGCCCAATCAATTGTTTTTTAAAATTTGAATAATATAGGGCGTTATCTATTAAAACAGCCCTTTTTT